ACTTCAAGCTGATGATATGAGTAACGTAGTCTTGACCCATGAGCTCAAGGTAATGCTAGTATAACAACAATTTACATTAACAAGTTTTACCTTCTCTGTGATGAAAGTTATACCTTCTAAGGTTTGAATTATCCATTCTGACAGCCCTGCAATCCTTATCCCACTCCCCTGCTAAATTTCTACAACTAAGTGATGAAGTTTGGACCTTTTTCAAAGACATTTAGCAAATATAATTTACCAGTTGTCCAGTTAGTCAAAAACATTTTTTCACTACTTTTTCTATGCATAAAGCACTGTACCAGACTGCCATGCCTATGCTTTTTTTCCCTGAGTCAAGAAAAGGTAAGTTTGTAAAGATAATAAGTAGGCATATGTGAGTCAGGGAAGATGCTTAAGGAATAAAAGACATTCCTTTTGGGTGTAATAGTATTGAATTAGAGATCTTGAAAGCAGCAAAAAAAAAAAGTGATTAAAAAAGTGATTTCTCTAAGGATTTAGTTGAGAATGGCTTTGCCTTTCTTGTCTGAGCTGCCAGGTAATGTCAAGTTTTGCTTGTGAGAGAATGCATACTATCTTGTCCTACAGAAGGGTACAGTGGTATTACAGGCCATGAATTGAGAATTATGGCTAATGTTGTAGTCAAGACTGGGGCATTCCTAGAAGGAACCAAGCTAGTCTTTCTAAGCTAGGTATGCTCTACCCAACTAAGTTAGTTGGATAGAATTGGATAGAGGAAACAAAGCAGATAGAAAAAGAAAAGACTGAGATTTCTATGTGATTTAATATTAAATGAATAGTATTAAAATTACATGCTAAGTAAGGCATATCATTTTAGAAGTTAGTACACTGTACTTAGGCACTGTAATGCGACTACAAACCCTCAGTTTCAGAAGAATTTGTATTATAAGAGTTTTATTTAAGATTTAGTAATAAGAACTTTTAAATTTATTGGTTGTGTAATGAGGTGATTATCATTATTTATCTTGGCCTTAAGAGAATAGAGTTGTTTTTTTCTGTTTTTAGTCACTCTTGATAGAGCCCTTTTTCCTTTTCCACTCCGTCGTTTTGTCCCACTTACTTTCTAGTTCTGAATTTTGTTCTTCTCCAAAAGGTAAAGTTGTTGGCCAAAGAACTTGAGGCTCTTAAAGTGGCTGGTATTAAAGCAGCAGAATCCCTCCTGGTAGCAGAAACAACTAATTTGGAGCTGGAAAAAGAGGTGAAGCGCAAGGACTTGGAAATTAAGGATCTGACAGCTGTGAAAAATGCCCGGTATTATAAATTGGTCCTTACTTAGTATTTGAATAAACTTTTATGTGTTTTTATGATCTTGATTTCTTTATTTTAGTAGGTCAGTTTATTTTAATAATTTCCACCAGTCCTCACCAGTAACCCATGACCTTCCTACTCCAGTGGCAGTGGTTACTCACAGTCATCCCTAGTCTTTCCAGACTGCGACTGAGATAAACTATCTGTAGTTCTATTAGGATTTAGTTAAACATTGATCACTTTCTCAGTCACCACCATTATTTTCCTCATCCCTTACTTTCCACAACATCCTTTAATTTCAGCATGGACCCTGCACAGGTCTAGGTTGCCTAATGGAATTATAGAGCAATACAGTAATAGGGACTGTGGACTTGAAAGTATACTGTGTTCTTGGGTTTCATTTCAGTAGTCTTTGTCTTGGTTTTTTCATGTCTGCTTTCTTCTCCAATTTTGATCTTTTAGGATAAAAGACTTAGAGGATAAACTCCAGTCTGTACAGCTAATCAGGAAAAAAGAAGAAGAAATATTTAAGAGGAAGTAAGTGTTTTTGGCCCCTTAGAAACACTGTAGTGGCAAGAAGGAAAATGGCAAATGGGATACTGGCAAGAGGGAGGAAGTAGAAAGGGCTAACTTTATCACTGAGTGGAACAGGCAAAAGATTATTTAGTGTGATTTCAGTTCCCTTTCCCCATATCCCTGACAAATGCTCCCTTCTTTTGGTTAATGCTTAAAATTAGAACTTATTCACTGGAATGACAACACATTAAATATTATCACTTATTTATATCTTAGGAAGATTGCAAAGTCAAGACTTGAAAGAGAAAAGGAAGGTGAGAGCCTAAAAAAAAACTGAGTACCTAGTATGGGGGGAAGTGGGGACCACTGAAGAGGGAAGATATAGAATGGGATTGTGGAAAAGAGAGAAGAGTAAGGAAATCAGGGAGTAGAGAAGATTTGCTGTTTTCAAATATCTAAGAAATTAAACTTCCTCTGTATGGTTCCAAAGGGTAGAACTAGGACTAGTGAGTAAAAGTTACAGGGAAGTAAATTTTTATCTTAACATAAAGAATTTTTAAACAATTAAATCTGCCCCACAAAGGAGTAAGCTAGTTGGGGAGACATTGAATTCTTTGTCACTGGAGGTATTTAAACCAAGACTATATGAACCTTTGTCAAGGATGTTGTAGGAAGGATTTGTGCAATAAATAGGGCTTAGATTAGATGACCTCTGAGATCTCTTCCAACCCTAGGATTCTGTGATTCTAGTTTATACAAATTAACACTTAAAATTTTACTTGTTCGTGAATTGTTTCAAATCTGTTAGTCCTATCTCTCAAGCTAGGTCACGTATGCACACGTATGGATCTCATATCTAATATAAAGTGAAATTTTTCATCAACATGCATTTCTCTTAAGTACCTACTTATGTCCTAGGCACTATACTAGGTACTGAGGATAAAAGACAAAAAGGAGAGTGGGGAGTCCAGTTGGTGAGGAGGGTGGGCATATAGCAGCTGAGAGATCAGGAAAGATTTCATGTAAGAACTGTCATACTTTCGTAGGATAATAAAATTTAAAGCCAGAAGGGACCTGAAAGATCATGCAAACTTAAGGACAGCAGGCAAGCAATTTGCAAGCAGATTAAAATGTAATTGGGAAATACTAAACAAAAAAATTAAAATACAAGACAATATTTGTTTGGTCATTTTCACTTGTTTTTAACTCTTTGTGACACCTTTTGAGGATTTTCTTAGCAAAGATACTGGAATAGTTTGCCATTTCCTTCTCCAGCTCATTTTACAAATGAGGAAGCTGAAGTAAATAGGATTAAATGCCTTTTCTAGGGTCACACAGGTAGTAAGTGTCTGAGACCAGGTTTGAACTCAGCTCTTCCTGACTCCAGGGCCAGCCCTCTATCCACTTCACCAACTAGCTACCTTTATGGTACAACATAGATAATGTTAATTTGTGATTTTCCAAGTCAATACGTGGTCAGAGGAGTCTGGTCCATTTGAGTTTGATACTATTGATCTAGTACAACCTTCTCATTTTACAGATAAGGAAATTGAAGCTCAGAGAAATACAGTGACCAAGTGATCAAGTCCTCATAGTAAAAAATGGGGATTTGAGCCTACATCCTTTGATTCCAAATTTAGTATTCTTTCCACTACACTACAGACTTTGGTAGAGGAGAAGACTGTAAGACTGTAGTGAATATCTTTCAGACAACCAGTTATTTGTCTACTATGGGTTCAGCTCTGTCGTAGTTGCTGAGAGGGATACAGAAGGCATACAAGATATGGTATTTCTCCTCTAGGAATTTATGATCTAGCTTGAGAGATAGGACTAGTAGATTTGAAACAATTCACGAACAAGTAAAATTTTAAGTGTAATTTGTATAATGCTAAACTTTAAGAGTGATAGTATTTCACAGAAGGAAAAAGTTAAGTGTTGTAGAGGGATTTGGATTGGTGGAGAGGAGGGCATTCTAGGCAGGGGGAACATTATGAGCAAAAGGTCAGAGTTGGAATTATCATAATAGAGCAAGGGGTAGGTTATCATTGTTCATTCATTCACATGTGACTCTTTGTGACCACGTGGACCATACCATACCAGGCCCTTCTATCCTCCATTATCTCCCAGAATCTGTCCTAGCTCATGTTTGTTTTTAAGATCTTTTTTGTATAGTTCTTCTGTATATTCTTTTTTTTTTTTTTTGGCTAGGCAATGGGGTTAAGTGACTTGCACAGGGTCAAACAGCTAGTAAGTGTGAAGTGTCTGAGGTTGGATTTGAACTCAGGTCCTCCTGACTCCAGAGCTGGTGCTCTATCCACTGCGCCACCTAACTGCCCCCTTCTGTATATTCTTGCTATCTCTTCTTAATCCTTTCTATTTCCGTTAAGTCTCTACCATTTTTGTCTTTCATCATGCCCATTTTTACATGAAAGGTTCCCTTATATCTCTAATTTTCTCAAAGAGATCTGCTGTCTTTGCCATACTGTTGTTTTCTTCTATTTCTTTGCATTGTTCATTTAAGAAAACCTTTTTATGTCTTCTTGCTATTTTCTGGAATTCTGCATTCAGTTAGGTATATCTTTCTCTTTTCCCTTTTGCTTTCCTTCTTTCTTCAGCTGTTTGTAAATCCTCATCAGAAACCCATTTTGCTTTCTTACTCTTCTTTTTCTTTGGAATTTATTTTGTTGCTGCCTCCTGTACAATATTGTGAATCTCTGTCCATGGTTCTTCAGACACTGTGTCTGCCAGATCTAATTGCTTAAATCTGTTTATCACCTCCGCTTCATATTCATAAAGGATGTTATTTAGGTCATATCTATGTGGTCTGATGATTTTCCTTACTTCAGTTTAAGTCTGAATTTAGTGTTTAGAAGCTCATGATCTAAGCCTAAGGCAGCTCCAGGTCTTGTTTTAACTGACTTTATAGAGCTCTGCTTTTGGTTGCAAAGTAATCCATCTGATTTCATGTTGTAGAGTTACCTTTTGGGTTGTTGAAAAAGGATGTTTGTGAGTTATCTTCACAAAACTCTCTTAGTCTCTTTCCTGCTTCATTTTCTATTCCAAATACAAACTTTCCTGTTCTTCCAGTTATCTTTTGATTTCCTATTTTAGTATTCCAATACCCTGGGATGAATGTGCCATCTTTTTTTGGTGTTATTTCTAGATGTTGTAGGTCTTCTTAAAACTGAGTAACTTTGGCTTCTTTGGCATCAGTGGTTAGATCATAAACTTGTGTTACTGTGATGCTGAATGGTTTGCCTTGGATTTGAACAGATATCATTTTGTTATTTTTGAGATTATATCCCAGTACTACTTTTCTCACCCTTTTATAATCATATGAAGGCTACTCCATTTCTTCTAAGGGATTCTTGCCCCTAGTATATGTAATGATCACCTGAATTAAATTTACCCATTCCCATCCATTTGATTTCACTGATACTCAAGATGTTGATGTTTAATCTTTCTTTCTCTTGTTTGACCACATCCAGCTTATCTTGGTTCATAGATCTTATATTCCAGATAATATTAATTTTTAAATGTTAATTCTAGTGATTTTAAATTTGGAGTACAATGTGCAGTAAAAATTGTATTCTTTTTAAGACCACAAAATGTAGCTGTCAGGTTCCTTTTAAATTGCATATTTAATCAACTTACAATGAAAATGAAACATATACACCAACATTTTATCAGTTAGAAATAATATTTCATTTTTTTGGTGGAGACATTAGTCTTTTTTTCTTTTTGGTTCATTATTATTCAATTGACAGAAGAGTGTGGTTCCTCAAAAAATACGTCTCTATCGTATAATCTTTTCCTTCTAGGGGAAAAAATGGATTTTAGATAGATTTGTTGATTTTTAAGCAATGCTGTTGAGAAAAATTAACTAGGCTTTGACATGCAAATGAAAGGAAATATTAGAAACCTAGAAAGTGAACACATTTGAACAACTTGAAAGGGTTTAATGATACTCAGCTGGAACACAGCAGTTTCCTAGAAGAGATCAGTAACCACTCAAGAGTTTGGCAAAGTGAATGAAGAATGTCTGTTACCCAGATTATGAATTACATTTGGATGGAGCATCTATAGAACTTGTCCACCAGTATGTATATCTGGAACAGAAAGTACAAACAGATAAAAAGTTGAGTCCAGAGTTGAACCAGAGGAGGAGAAAAGGCTAGATTGCCTTAGGAAAATTGAAGAACTCCTTTAATGACCCAAAGCTTCCCATGTAAACAGACAGTACCAGTATTTTTCTGGTGTTATGATAGGATAGCAAGACATGGAAGTATAACAGTCTCTGAAAAATTAAAAATCAATGTTACATAGAAAACAATGGAAAGACACTTGTGGATGTAAATAGGCTACGACATAGAACCAGTGAGAAGCTTCAAAGAAAAACTGCAGTAAAAGATATTGTCGAGGAGATAGATGATAAGAAAAGAAAATGGACTGGTCAAATGGTAAATAAAGATGAGAGATCAGTGAACAGCCACAGTGAACTTTTTCAATGTCAGAAAAAATCGAGGAGGGCCTTCTGGCACATTGGGTGGATACTCTGTGGTGAACTTAGGAGGACATCATAAGAGTCATACAAAGTTAGGCATGTATGGATCGACAAGATCACAGATGCATTTGAGTATTTGATCAAAGTTATGCTCAGCTTTGCAGGATGATTTATTCTTGGTGATACCTTTTCCTTTTTTGTATATCACATTCCACACTAATAATTGCTGCATAATCTTTTGTGATTCTGACTGTAATACTTTGATATTTTATATTTTTTCTTGACTGGTTGTGGAATTTTTGTTTGAACTGGAAGCTCTAGAGTTTGGTATTAATACTTTTGGGTTTGTTAAATTTGGAATTTTTGTCAGGTGGTGACCTATTTTCACTTAACACTCTAGTTCTAGTAGTCCTAGGTAGTTTTCTCTTATTATTTATTGAGACATTATTTTTTGTAATGGTTTTTGGGGTATCCAGTAGTTCTTATATTAATTTTCCTCATCCTAACATGTGAGTTGATTTTGATTGTAGATGTCTCACATGGTCTTCTGATTTTTCAGTCTTTTGACTTTGTTCTATTATTTTTTGGTATTTCATTGAATCATTAAGTTGTATTTGCTCCATTCTATTTGAAGATATCTACTAATTTGATAAGTTTATCCTTCTGTTCTTAGCTGTTTATTTTGCTTCCAAGTTTATCCTCAACTACTCTAATTTCATAAGATCATAGATTTAGTGCTGGAAGAGTCCTTAGAAATCATTAAGTTCAACTTCCTCATTTTGAAGATGAAGAAAGGGAGGCCCAGAGAGAAGTGACTTGCCTAGGGTCACACAGTTCCTGGATTTGAATCCAGATCTTCCTGACTCAAAGTCCAGGACTTTATCTGCTATGCCATGCCAACTCTCATTTCATTCTTTATTGCTTGTTTTATTTCTTCTACTGACCCTTGAAGTCTTATTAGTTAATCTCTTTTTTGAGGTGAGCAATAAAGGTGAGGGAGGTGAGTTTTACTTATAATTCTTGTGGAATTATTGTCTTCTGAATTTAACTTGAGATTCTCTTAATCTATAGTATTTCTTTATTGTATTAGGTGTTTTCTTTTGTGTGTTCATGTCATTAACCTCTCTTTTAGGGATGACTGTGAAATCCCTTTCCTTGCTAGTTCTTTCAAAATTCTCTTGATTCTGCAATCTGGGAGTTATTGTTCCTCATTACAGGACAAGGTGAGAATGGAGGGCTGTAAGAAGCTACACTGATATCTGAGTTCTTTGCCATAGGTAGGACTGCAGCCGACCCGCCTAAAAATAGTTTCTTGGCCCTGTCTCTTATAGCTATCATGGTCTATGACACTGAGGTGGGTGGACAGTGATTCTTGATAGGTTGACTGAGTGTGGGCTCCCAGTCTTTATATCCTGGTGGAATATTATCAAGCTGGCTGAGATCATGGAAATTTCTATTTTTTAACTTTCTTGCCAAAATTCTGGACTGAAACTCTGTTTCAGGGACAGAGTCTTCTATTTCTACAATCTTGGATAGAACAAGGGCCCTGGTTCTGCTTCGCTGCTACAGTCCCAGAGTAGAGCATTGTACTGTGTTGCATATTCCAGTTTTGGGGGGAGTGGATGGGCCTTGGCCCTTCACCTTGCAATCCTTGGCTGGGATCCTGTATGGCTTCAGGCCTTTCTTCCTTTTGTAGTCCTGGAATTGGAAGCTGAGCTGCCTCTCCTCTGGAGACCTCTTCAGAGCAAAACCCAAATGAGTGGTTGTGCCGGTTCCATGCTCTTATCCTTTCTTTAGTCCTGAATGGATTGATAGAGCTGGAGATAAAGATGGTCTGGATGTGGTTGCTGAGGCAGAGATCTGATACTTTGCCCTCTGCATCCTTCTATAGTTCCAGATGGGATAGTTGGAAAAGAGGATTGCCACCCCTCCCCTTCCCCAAGGAACTGATCCAAATCCAGAGTTTATAGTATTTTGTTGCAGTGTGTTTTGTTTTTTCCACAGGGATTACCTCACTGTTTTCCATTGTTCCTGAGGTGGTTCTCAGTAGAACTGAGGTTGGCTGGAACTTTTTATGTTGCAGTCTTTGCCAGAAGATCTTTCAAAATATTTTCTAGAATAGAGAGTGGCCTTAATTTGTATGGTTTTGGAGACCCCCCCTGCAATGATAAAAATCCAGAAATATTTCTTTATGACAAGGAATTCTTCAGACAGATGCTTCTTTCTTTTCAGAGTTCTTTCTTTTACATTTTCAATTCTATTGTTTCTAGCAGAGGAAAAAGCCTTATTAGGTATACTAATTTAATAATTCTCTTAATAACTACAAGGAAGGTATGCTATGTCTCATGGAGTTATTAGCTTCTACTTGCCCAGTTCTAATTTTTAAGGAATTATTTTCTTTAATGAGCTTTTGTATTTCTTTTTCAGTTTGACCAGTTCTATTTTTTAAGTACTTTTCTTCTTCAGTGAATTTTTGTGCCTCTTTTACCATTTGGCCAATTTTGTTTTTAAGATATGTTTTCTTTAGTATATTTTTTTTTGTGCTGCTTTTCAGTCTATTGACTCTCTTTTCGTATTTTTTGAATTAGTCTCATTTACTTTCCCAGTTTTTCTTCTGCTTCTCTTATTTTATTTTTAAAGTCCTTTTTAAGTTCTTCTAGGAATTCTTGTTGGGTTTGTGTCCAACCCACATTTTTTATTTGAAGTATTGCTTGTAGCTATTTTGACATAGTTGTCTTCTGAGTTTGTGTCTTGATCTTCCCTGTTGCTGTGGTAACTTTCTGTGGTCAGGTTCTTTTTTGTTGTATGCTTGTTTTTCCAGCCCATTTCTTCACTTTGAACTTTATGTTAAAGTTGGACTCAGCTCATCTAGGGGTGGGGAGGCACTGTCCCAAGCATCAGTTTTTTTGTGCTGCTGTTTTCAGGGGGTCTGTAAGTTGTCAGTGCTTCCAAGATGTAGCTTCTAAGGTGTGTTTGCTGTAATTGCTGCTCAACTGGCTTGTGCTCTGGTCTTGACCCAGGAAGGGACCTTATTCCACTGCAGTTGTAAATTCTAGTGTTTCTCTTGGCCCTGGAACTGTGATCAGGTCCCCTGTTCCCCTATGGCTGCAAGTGCTATCTCCTTTTTCAGCCCTGGAACTGTGACCCAGAACCATGTGTGGGCAAAGCAACTGGTCCTTAACCCAGCACCAGCAGAGGGTACCCCTTAACCTTTGTCTGACCCCCTTATCATCTGTGGGGGTGAGAGTTTCCAAAGATACTACTGCTTCTTCTGCAATTGCCTCTAAGGCCTACTGCTGGCCTTGCCACAGCATGGCCTCTTCTTAGCTCCAGCCCCAGCCACTACCCTGGTGTGACAGACCTTTCTTGCCAAGCTCTTGAGTTGTTTTGGGCTGGAAAATTGTTTTACCCCAACCTTATGTTGGTTCTGTCACTACAGAATTCGATTTGAGGAGTTATTTTAAAGTTGTTTAGAAGATAATGTTTGGAGAGTTCAGATGAGTTCCTGTCTCTATTCTACCATCTTGGCCCTGATAGGTATGCTTCTGCTCAAGATTGTGTTCAGATTGTGGTTTTAGGAGAAGTAGGGAAAAGAGGAGGGATAGTGGAGGAGAGAAGGGCCTGGCATGCTATGGTCCAAGGGGTCATGAAGAGTCAAATACGACTGAATGACTGAACGATAGTCTCTATTCTTTCACCAAACTTTCTGCTTAGCATTTTCCATTTGAGACACAAAGGAATTAACTTATGTTAAGTTTTCATTAGTTTTGTTTTCAGAATTGGTCCTTATATTCCTCTCAATTTGTTAGAATAAATGCAGGGCGATCAAAATCAACTCACATGTTAGGATGAGGAAAATAAATAAATTGGTATCAACTAAGATACCAATTTAGGGTGATAAGACACATCAGTAAAAGCCTTTTAATGACTGCCTCCTATATACAAGACACTGCACTTCATGCTTTGAAAGACACACAAAGTACTTTAGGAGAGATCTGAAAACAATGCTATTACAAAGCTGTACCATTACAATATTAAGTATAACTGCCACAAGAGAGGTACAAAGTGCTATGGAAATTCTCATTTAGGAGGGAAACCTTTTCTGGTTGGTGGGATCTAGAAAGATAACTGCTTGAATCTCAGAGATCTCTAAATTAACATCCAGCCAGGCTGTTTTTTACTTTCTGATTTTCTGTCTTTCAGACATGAAGAGCTGGATCGCTTTGCCAGAGAAAAAGATGCTGTGCTAACTGCAGTGAAGGAGGCCAATGTAGAACATGTACAGAAACTGGAGGCCAAGGTTCTTGAACACCAAGCCAGTCATGATACTCTTGAGATGGAACTGAGAAGGGCTGAGTGGAGACAGGTTGATGCCTTAAAAGAGAAGGATATTGTCATTGCCAAGTGAGTTAGATTCTTTTATTGATAAACTGAAATGGAAAGTACCCTCATTATTAGTTATATGTTTCTGATTATATGCTTATAATCAGAAAACTACTTTCATATGAGTTCTTTTTACTATTGATTAGTGATTATTCTCCCCATTTTAAATAAGGGGAAATGAAGGCACAGAATGGTCAAAGTGAATTAATTGCTAATAGACATTGCTGTGGCTGAACTGTAAGGATCTGACACATGCCCTTATATGCACATCTACTTGACCAATATGTCTTACTTATTATCTTTTATTTTTTTTGTTCTTACTGACCTGAGGCAGTTTTAGTTTGAAAACCCATAGGTCATGAAATGTAGTTAAATTCTATCTCATATATATGAAATATAGCATAAATGTTCAATCATAATTAATATTGAACTCAGATAACTTCGAAAGGAGTGTTCTTTCCACTACCTCAACTAGGAAGACATGCTTATTTTTTCTTCATTTATCATGAGATGGACTAGGTTTCCTTGCCTTTCTAGTCTGTTTTTTATTATTAGTGTTTGAAGTTTGGTAAATAAAAGACTTTGGTGTGGTGCTGTTCTTCATTATACTCAACAAGTATTTCCTTTCCCCAGTCTTGTCTATCTCTAGGGGATCATCTCCCAATTTGCATTTGTACTTTTGGAGAAATGGCTTCTTCAGCAACAACAACAAAAAAAAAAACATAGGAAGTTAAATATTCTTTCACAGATTCATTTATTTAGTAAAAAAAACTGAGCATCATGGTACTTAGCACCATGGGCAGTATGAAAGTAAATAAGACATATTACCTACTCTCAAGAAACTTATAATCAAGTTTGGGAGACAGGCACACAAATGATTATAGTAATGTATAAATGTTCCACAAGAGACCTAAGTGCTATGGAAATTCAAAGGAGAGAGTTTTGTTTTTTTTCTGATGTAGGAACACTTCACTTACAGAATACTAATGTTATTTTCCATGCTACTCTTTTACCACCTTCTCCTTTCTAAAGAGGGGAATAGGGGGCTAACAGAAGAAGTCTAAGAACACAGGATGAAAGAAGTGCTTAGCAGGCATAACTAACTCCTGCCTGTGTCCTTTAGTTCAGGTTCAATATAGAAATAAAATAAAACACTCATAGATCATTCAACATAATTATTAACAAGAGGAATTTTAGTTAGCAATAGGATAGAAAAGATATTCAGCAAGGATATTCAAGCACTTAGCTTGGATAGACTCAGTCTCCTTCGTCTCTAGTCAGCTGGGCAGTGTGGTAACTTCTGCAGTTTTGAGCTATTGCTAAAAATTTGAAGAGCACTGATTCCGCATAAGCGGGCTTTTTTATTTTATTAAGTGACCAGAAAGCTACTTCGGTATGGCCAGAGGCTATTATGAAGCTACATCAGGGGAAAGTGAGCTATTAGAGTAAAAAAAAATCAATACAGTGCTCTATGTTTTAGGAATCTTAAGCATAACTCTTGGCATGTGAGATAAGTGCAGTTGTTCAGTAATTTAAACTTTCTTTGGCATTGTCCTTCTTTAGGATTAGGACATAAACTGAATATGAAAATAAGTAAGACATAGTACCTGTCCTTAAGGAGCTTATAATCAAGTTTGGAAGACAGGTGTACAAATGTACACAAATGATTATAGTAATATGTAAGTGTTCCTTAACAGAGCCAAGGGCTATGCAGGTTCAAAGATTTTTTTCTAATGCCAGGAGCAGGCTGGAGTGAGGAGGAGGATTCATCAGGGGAGACTTTACAGAAGAAGTTTTAAGCTGAGTCTTAAAGATAGGTAGCATTTAGGAAGATGACAATTGTGGGGGGTCAGGATATCAAGTAGAAATAGTCAGTTTGTCTGTAGCACAGGATGCTTGGGAAATAGTAGGAAATAAGGATAAGAAGGTAGGTTGGCACCAAATTGTGGAGTAATTCTATTTTAATGAACTGAGTTTGAACTATTGAAGACTATTGAAGGTTGATTTGTTTAGGGGAATTGGATTTATCAGACCTCTACCTTAAAACAGTTATTCTGGTAGTAGTACATAGGATGGATTAGAGTCAGAGAACAAATTCAAAACTTGGAAACTAATGAAGAATATGATGGAAGGATTAAAAGGAGTAGACATCATAAAAATATTACTTTAAGCTGAACTACACAAAGAAAGGTTGAGTATGCACTTATAAAAACACATAAAGAGTAAGGTGCAGAAATTGAACTTATCAGGGAAACAGGTAGGAAGAACAGGGAGAGAGGGGAAAAAGGTTTCTTAAGAGGGAGGTTGGAGTTAGAAAGCCAAGAGTCAACTTCTAAACAATCTTCAAAAACAGAGGTCTAATTATGAAGTGGGAACAAGAAAGGAAAAATGAAAGGGTAAGAACCTATTATTGAGATCTAGTCATTCCTCTAAATCCAAGCATTTCTAGCCTGGTGAGCAAAATATCCAAACTGGCATGATCTTCCCTTGCTGTAAGAAGTATTTTTCCCCAATATGCTTTGAATTACTATTTGTGGTCCAATTCTCACAGCCATACATTACTACTGAAAAAAATCATAGCTTTGCCAATGTGGACCTTTGTCAGCAAGGTGAGGTGTCCTGCCTTTTAAAGTATGCTGTCCAGATTTAGCATAGCTTTCCTTCCAAGGAGCAAGCATCTTTTAATTCCCTGGTTGTAGTCACCATCTACAGTGATCTTTGAGCTTAAGAATATAAAATTGCTTCCATTTCTTCTCCTTCTGATGGTTAGGAAGTGATGGTACCAGTTGCCATGATCCTAGTTTTTTGATGTTAAGCTTTTTTTGTTTTGTTGTTGCTGTTTTTTGTTTTGTTTTTTTGTTCAAACAATTGGGGTTAAGTTACACAGAGTTAAGTACCAGAGTTACACAGCTAGTAAGTGTTATGTGTCTGTAGCTGGATTTGAACTCAGGGCCTCCTGACTCCAGGGCCAGTGCTTTATCCACTGCACCACCTAGCTGCCCCTAGATGTTAAGCTTGAAACCAACTTTTACACTGTTTTCTTTCATCCTCATCAAGAGGCTTCTTAATTCTTCTTCACTTTCTGCTATCAGAGTGGTATTATCTGCATATCTGAGATTGTTGATATTTCTCCCAGCAACCTTAATTCCAACTTTTGATTCATCCAGCCTGGTATTTTTCATGATGCACCTTGCATAAAATAAGATGACAATATTCAGCCTTGTCACACTCCTTCCTTTTCCAATCTTAAACCAATTAGTTATTTCATGCTCAGTTCTAAACTGTTGCTTCTTGACCTTCATACAAGTTCCTCAGGAGACACATGAGATCATCTGGTACTCTCATCTCTTTGAGGACTTGATACAGTTTGTTGTGATCCACACAGTGAAAGACTTTAGTCAATGAAGCAGAAGTAGATGTTTTTTTTTAGAGCTCCCTTGCTTTCTCTATAATCCAGCAAAAATTGACAATTTGTTCTCTACTCCCTTTGCTTCTTCAAAAAGCCAACCTACTCTTCTGGTAATTCTTGTTTCATGTATTACTGAAGCCTAGCTTGTGGAATCTTAAGCATAAGCCTGTTGGCGTGAGTGTAGTTGTTCAGTAATTCGAACTTTCTTTGGCATTGCCCTTCTTTGGGATTGAGGCATAAACTAATCTTTTCCAATCCAGGGGCCACTGTTGTGTTTTCCAAATTTGTTGGCAGGTTGAGTACAACACTTTAACAGCACCTCTTCTGGGGTTTTAAACATTTCAGCTGGAATTCCATCACCTCCACTAAACTTATTGTTAGCAATGCCCACTGAGACTCACTTGACTTCATTCTCTAAGATGTCTGGCTCTAGATCAGTAACCACACATGCATTGCGGTTATCAGTGATGTTAAATTATTTCTTTTATAGTTCTTCTGTATATTCTTGCTACCTCTTCTTAATATCTTTTATTTCTGACAAATCTCTACCTTTTTTGTCTTTTATCATACCCATTTTTGTATGAAATGTTCCCTTTATATCTCTGATTTTTTTGAAGAGATCTCTTGTCTTTCCCATCCTATTATTTTCTTCTATTTCTTTACCTTGCTCATTTAATAAAACCTTATCTCTCATTGCTATTCTCTGGAATTCTGCATTCTGTTAGGTATATCTTTCTCTTTCTCTTTTCCTTTTGGCTTTCTTTCTTTCTTCAACTGTTTGTAAATCCTCATCAGAAACCCATTTTGCTTTCTTGCTCTTCTTTTTCTTTGGAATATATTTTGTTGCTGCCTCCTGTACAATATTGTGAACTTATGTCCATAGTTCTTCAGACACTCTGTCTACCAGATCTAATCCCTTAAATCTATTCATCACCTCCACTTCATAAGGGATGTTAATTAGGGCATACCTATATGGTTTGATGGTTTTCTCTCCTTTCTTCAAGTTAATCTAAAAAATCTTGACCATCTATATTAAAAAAGAAAGGTACTGCAAGCATTCAGAAAGAGAGAATTCAGGTACTGCAGAGCCACAGTCAGGATGATATAAGATTGAGCAACCAGTAATGAAGAAAAAGAGAGCTTGGAATATAATATTTTGGAAGGCAATGAATATAGACTTACAACTTATTCATTCTGAGTATAATCCTATAATGGAATAAATGGACCTTTAGTGAAATAGAAGGCTTTCACACATTACTGATGAAAAGACCAGAGATGATGGGGGCAGCTAGGTGGCACAGTAGATAGAGCACCGGCCCTGGATTCAAGAGGACCTGAGTTCAAATCCGGCCTCAGACACATAACATTTACTAGCTGTGTGACCCTGGGCAAGTCACTTAACCCCATTGTCTAACAAAAAAAAAAAAAAAAGACCAGAGATGAGTAGAAACTTTGAAATACGAACATAGGAGTCAGGAGAAACATAAAAAGAGAAATGTGAATGAATGAGGGACTAAAGAAGAATAAATTATTTACATTCTGAAATGGTAAAGTGATACACGTATGTCCTATGAATGTTGTCATCATCAGGAGTCATGGAAATAGTCTAATT